AAAGGAATTACTACTTTTTTTCCTTATGCCATGTTATCTGATGTGGCRATGAGAGGCTTATGATGCTATCAGTTTACAAAGAGGTGTATAGCTACTCTCCCTATGTATATATAAATTTAATATTCAAATATAATTATTATTATTCTCTAACACCTTAACTAGGAAAGGGCTATATGTATTCTTGAGTGACTTCTTTAGGTGAAAAGATGTGACTGGACAAGTAAGCTATAATCTAGATGTCCARGTTTAAGTGAGAGACAAAATGCACCAGTTGGTGCATTATCTCTTTAACATTAAAAAAATAAAAAAAGTGTTTTTTTTCCTCCAGTAATGTTGATTTTAAGGTTTYGATAACTGACCAGTTCTCCTGGCCAGTACTGGGCAGCAGTTGACCTGGAATAGTCCCGTGCTTTTGTGAAGTTTACACAGTTAGGCTGTCTGTGTGTTTCTCTGTTTTCTCAGTAACGTTCCCTCGGCTGGCCAGATCCAATGAAATCTAAAAAAGAATAGAAGCCTCCAAAGCCCTTAAAGTGTTAAGGTATCTAGTGCCTTAGTGGAAAAGTAAGATGCAAGTTGATGGTAGGGCACAAAGGAAGAGCTCTGTTTGTTAACTTGCAGCAGGGTAGTAAGTCGGTCATCATTGTGAGCAAGCTGGTCTTCCAGCATCTGAGCACCAAGCCAGCTGCAGCACATCTTTCCCCTAAATGAAATGAATAAATAAGGGAAGGTATGAGGTTTTGGGGGAGGMATTCTGACAAAATAGAAGGGAGGAAGAAAGAACAAGAATTTGAAAAGGTTTTTCTAGTAAGATGCCTCATCAAAGCAGGTGTGGGTTCAGTTTGCTTGTATATATTTTAAATACATCTTAAGAAACAGTGAGATGCGAGGCACATTGGTTGCTTTATATGTTTCTGTCCAGCACAAATAGCTTGATCATTGCAATATAATGGATAACCTCAGCTGAGAATCCACATGAGAAAGACCGGAACCTTAGTGAAAGGTTATGGGGATCATTGAAGACTTTTTGTAAAGCCTGTGGCTTGCAGGCTTGTGCTGTATTCAGACTATTGAGTGATAATGGATCATTTTGGCCAAGAGCAACTTTTTATTATATGTCTGGCAGATACATGACAAGAGGATCAGTAGATGGATCTCACTGTGGTTTATCACTGTTTAGTAACTTGCATACGTTGTTGCATTCATGCAGACTCAAGCTCACGCTCACTAAGCAAGACTGCAAGCAGGGGACCTGCTGCTTATGCTCAATGTCATGCTCTGTCTGCCCCTAAAACTATTAGCTTTTTAAATTATTTTAGGTGTTTCGCATGTTGGGATTTGACGCTTGATTACAGAGATTGATTAATTTTTATAACAAAGAGTAAAAGAGTTTCCTGTTTAGATATACTTGAGGCAGTGAGTGAGGATAGTAACTTGTGTATATAGTTATGGAGTGTGTGTGCTTGCGTGTTGGTGTTTTTCGTTGTTTCCATTTGGTTTGATGACTTTCAGAAATGTCACTTAACTCAGGCTGATTATTTCAGTCTTGTGCATGTTTTTAGCTGTTTTCTTATCACTTTTGTCTTTACAGCTATCTGTGTATTGAGCATGGGAGAAATCAAAAGTATTTAGAATTTTTGGTTGGTTGATTTTGTGGTAGTGTTGTTGTTCCCTATTTCTGCTGATAAAGGCTTCTCTAACCAGTGTTTTTTTCTTGTAGAACATTGCCGTTGAGTTGGTCTGATTCCAGAAACCATACCACATGATGGCAGATGAATTTTCTGGGTTTAAGTCATATTAAATGTTCCATTAAATCAAGTAGCATTAGGAAATTCAATTCTAAAATATTTATGAAGAGTAATTCATGGCATTATTCACTGAAATGCCAGATTCATTAAGTCTTAAATCATTAAATGTTTCTAATATATAAAGTCTGTGGCTCATTCTGTAGCTGAAATATATTTGGGCCTCCTGTGTTGTTGTTATTTATAAGGTGTCTGTTACAATTTAGTGATGTTCACAAGCTCATGCCTGATATGGTGCTCTGATAATTTCAGTGAACATATATATATATGTATATGGCTAATAGGACAAGTTTAGAACAGCATTAGCAGTAGCAGAAGTTTAGAACCTCATTATCCAGTAGCAGATCCACAGGGTAAATATGAATCCTCTTTAAAAAGAACATGAAGAACATCCTTTTTGTATTGACATCTCTTCTAATCTTTGATCCCGATCTTCCATGCCTTCTCTCTGCTCCATTCTCCTTTCGGTGCTATTTGCAGTGGAGGAACTTCAGGCACCAGACTTGACTTCCCTATTGCTTCCCTGTTCGTCATGATGGGGTCTCTTAAGGCTTGGTCCCTTAACCTGCTTCACTCCCCATGGCCCCAGAAGCAGCCCTGAGTCCTTGTTCACCTGTGGGCAGTTAGTGCTGGTGAGCTGAGACGTGTGAGAGCCATCATACAGACTTGTTGCAAGTTTCCCTGCCCATGTGCTGCACAGCTCTTGGTAGAGCTATTGGTAGAAGTGTGCAGGGAGCTGAGCTGGGGGCTTGCTAGAGAGTAATAGTTGCTCTATAGCTGGGTTATCGTCACTGATTGGAATAGTGTTTTATAAGAATACACTCAAAAAGATAACAGAAAATGCAGCCATGGTGATATGGTAAGTGTATGAGGCTGGAAATACTAAACCAAGATATTTGCAGGGATATTCCTACAGAGRTATTAACTAATATGCCTAGTGGCCCAGGCAGTACTTAACATTATTAGTAACACAAAAATATTTTAAAAAGCAGATCTTTGATATCCTCACTCCCCTTTTGGTGTATGGTAGCTGTTCGAACAATGCAAGACTTAACAGGATGTCCTAGTATTGACTGACTTTCCTGTGTAGGAAGAAATGTAGCTGAAGTGTGCTGTGGCTTGCTTCTACACCATAATTCCAGCTTGGAGTGCTAAATCACAGCAAAAGTAATCATCTAGAATTGGAATCAAATGTCAAGAGCATTGAATGCATAGCCGAGTGATTTAGCCTCTGTATTGGAAAGGGGAGAATCTTTGTCTCCCTTTAAGAAATGATAGCCAGTCCCAAGAGAAATTTCTTGCACAAAACCTGTCTATAATCCCTAAGTAACTGTAAACCAAGGGGCAGGAATGAAAAAGTAAACACAATRGCATTCCAAGCCTCTTGGACTGTGTGAACATCTTTTAAAGCAACTAAAATGCACAAGCCCACACCTGTTCTTGTGGCTCAGAAGACTGAAAAATAAGTGTATTTATTAAAACAAATATCAGGTAAAGGCTCAATATGTTGCATTAGCACTGTGCCCTTCCGAGTATCTTTCATGTTTGTTAGTCTTAACTCAGTCACTTAATCTGCTTTTTTTTTTTTTTTTTTTGAGTTGTGTTTTCTTTTTCCATTTAAACTTAAAGCTTATTCTTGCTAATATGTGGGATTTTGGGAATTTATAAGAGTCTATCCCCACAAACCTAAAAATGCATTTGATCTTCTAAGTTGCTTCTGTCAGATGTGCACTACCRGTAGAGTATCTTAGAGCATAGCAACAGTAGATGATTAGGAACAACCGCTGGATTAACCTTTTCAGCCTCTGTACATACCCAATGATATTTGTTTGATATGTTCAAAAGCAAAGCCCTAAGAACAAGCCATTTCTGTAATTAGATAACAGCTTGCCTTTTTTTGTTTTCCAGTAAAAAATTCCAATTTAGAGTACAATGTACCTACTGTCTGTTTGATCAGTGCGCTATAGGCATCTTTTGAAGTTTAGCCTGTCAATTCTCTGACTTTTTTTTCGATCWTTGTTTTTATCCTTTTATTTCCTTTCCCTTTCTGAAGATAGTAACTTTGCTTTATGAATACTCACCAGAATTTGCTTCCACTTTAGTTCTCCTGCCTAGTTTCTCTGCTGATTAGAGTGAAATTGAGAAGCATCAATATGAACGTGTAAGTTGCTSATCAACCCAGCAATTTTTTTGATGGATTTATTCCAAGAAGTTGCTGAATGTTCTTCATTGTTATGTGTTTTTCATAAAAACACTTGCAAATCTATAGTGAGTTTCGTATTAGATTTTTAATTATTTGAAGAGAATAACAGAGTTAGGANTTTTTTTTTTTTTTTTTTGGTACTGAATTACTTTTGCCTTCCAGTCTTAGCTTCATATGCATCTTAGGAGCATCTATTAATAGGAAAAAAAACAGTTAAGTGGCAACCTTCAGGGAAACAGAAATGCGAAAAACTTTGAAATTATAGAAAAAGTAGCCTTTCGAGAGAGAGAGGAAAGGGAATGTATATATAGGTTTGTGTTACTTAATCTCTTCCAGTTTTGGCAGAGCACAGTAGTCATGCACTGCTGCTTCACACAACTTCTGTTCCAGTTGCAGCTTTATGCAACTAAACTTAGCACTCTGTAACTTGTTGCTCTGTTGCCTTGAGCTGCTGTGCTTTTCATTGCTTCAGAATCTGTTCTTGACTTTACAGTCCCTTTGCTTGTAGGTTTTGACTTTGAGATTTTGGGAGTTTTGATTTATTTCTGTCTTTGGTAAGAAAGTAATTTTGTAATTTATAGTGGTTTTTGCAGTGGTGTTAAGGTGTAGTACAGTCTGCTCTGTCTGGGGAAGTTTGTGCTGAAGCAAGCTGAGAATATAGCCTGACATTTGGATAGTTTATTGTTTGGTTGGTTTGGCTTCAGTTTGAAGGGCTTGCCCCTTTGGGGCAAAAAGTTCATTGTTTGTTTTTTTTCCCCCTGACAGCCATGATTGTCTGTCCACATCTGAAGGTTTAGATGAACATTCTGTTGTTTTTGGTTTTGTAACTCCTAATGTTTTGTTTATTGTTTTTTGGACACAAGGAGATGTCATGTAAGTCAAACTTGGCTGTTTTGTGTGTTTGTTTTTCCTTCTAGATGGCTTTCATAAAGTTATGCAATATGATTCAGGCTCGGCTAAGCAAGAGCGATATGGCTCTGGCAAATATCAGCATCCCTTTTTCAGAAAAGGCCAAGAAGAGCTGCTGTCAAAGATAAAAAGGAAAGTAAGTAACTTTAATGTCTACTAGTAATATCCTGAGTTTGCTCATGAATTTGGAACGTTTCCTTCCACACTGTCTTAGGAAAACACACATACAGCTCACAAATATTAATAGGTTCTAGTCTTGGACTTTTGGTTACTAATATTCATCTTTTTAAGTTATGAGAAGCCCTTATCAAGTGTTCCTGAAAAACATTGTTTAGTACTGGGACTATGAAGCTGTTCTGATTGCCATATAAATGTGTTGCATAATCCTGCTTCTGTATTTGCCCTGTGGTACGAGAAAATTTTTCATGACAAATATCCTATAATACAGTATCTTCAGTTAAAAATGTCAAAAGATTCAAAAGGTGCAAGTGATACTGAAACACTGGCATTTTTTTGAAAAATCTAATGTGTRTCTTAAAAACCATATGAAAAGTGCTCTTGTGTTAGGATTTAGACCTCATATCCTAGTTAGCGTTCGTGTTATGCTCCTTAACCTCCCTATTTTTCCTATATGTTCTTCATTCCTAGGTTCCTCTGATAACCTGAGAAGGAAGCTAGATTAAAATRAGTTCTATTCATTCTTTTTTTCTCTTCTTCCACACTACTTTTCTTCAGTGTTCTCGACTTGTTTGTTACAAGTTTACCCCATATAGAAAATGGTAATAGCGACCCAGAGGAGGTCCACAAGATGTTARCGATTATTCATCAGATGCAAGGAAAACAGGATGTAATAGATTCTGCACTTGAATCACTAAAAAGGTATGTTGAATCCTTCTCAGGCTGTATGTGCCAGGATTCTGAGCAAGCTCTTTTGTTTTTTGCCTTATCACCATCCTCAGTAGGAAAAGTCTTGCTTGAGTTCTGCTAGGAAATAATCATCCCAATATTTCTTTTGATTGTGGAAAACATTAGGAGACTTTACCCCTCATATGCTTTACGTAACTGAATTAAGCTGACCGCTAAATGTGCTCGGCAAGCTGCTAATSCTGCACGCCCCGTGTTCTGCCACTGCATCTGTTGTGTGAAGCAGTACTGCTTTTTTAACAATGTGGAACCACGTTTCTGAACAATGTAGGATCCCATCCTCAGCCAATAATTAGATTTCATGTTCTTTGTATACATTATTTCAAATAGTATCTGGTATGTTAGCATTCAACTCGGAGGTCCTGCGGATCCCTTTCCATAAAGAGAAGCTAGGTAATTTTCTAATAAAGAATTCAAGTAAGATTTCTGTCAAATGAAGGGATACTAGTGTGCGTATTAGATATTTAAAATCTAGTTGCCCCCTTCTAGAATGGGATTAGTCTCTATCTGAGCATGCATTGCTTGCTGAATGTATACAGAATATAGAATACTGTATAGAGAACTTGGATTTCTGTGTTTTTAGATGCCCTATAGTGGGCTGGAATGTATTCGGCCGGGAGTGGCTTGTGCTTCTTGGAGGGTTACTCAGTTATACCTGGTGTACAGCTGAATCATGTGAATATGTTTCCTGAGCAAAGATTTAAATCCCAGCTTGTAAAAGAAAGTAGGAAAACTTAAAAAGGATGACATGTGCTTGTTCAATTGGAGGCTTTTCTGAGATAACTCTTAAAATTTGAAAATAAGGGAAGCAGCTGAAGACTGATACCCCACTGCCTTTTGCTAGCTTTTGAGTCATTTTCTGAAGGACCTTTATAGCTAATTTGAGAAATGATTAGTTTGGACTTTGAGAAACTGTCTCTTCAAATAGAGTAGCCTCTCTTTCCATCTGCTCAAGTTGAATTGTTGGTTTCATTCCCACATAGGGGAACACAGCAGCTCCTATAAGGAATTCCTTTTAACAAATGCTACTGTCCTAATCTTAAGTTCTCCCTTTCCTGTTCCCTACTTTGAATTTCCTCCTGCTACCTTTTCCTTAGTGTTGCATTGCAAACTTGAAATGTGTAAATTAGGATGGGGCGTTCTTGTTTTGGCAGAGCTTTCTCTGTCCCTCATGACATTTTGATGATGTAACAGTTTTGAAAAACTAATTGCTACCATGAAGAGTGTTCATGATATTCAGCTTAGTGAACTCATCCTCATCTTGTCAGCTCTTTCCAAACATGAGGCAGTGCTTGTGGGGAGAGGTAATATCTTTTAATAGACTGACTTACAATAATGGGAGAGGGTGTCGGACAAGCCCACAGTGACCTCAGAGGGCYTTTGTATGCAGACGCTCATCAGTTCTTTTTTCCAGTTATAGTAGATATTAGATAGCCTAATAAAAGGCATTAGCTGCCCTTGCGAACACAGCCTGACACAGAGCAGGTGATTGGAGGCTCTTGCCAAAGCTGACGGATGCGCTGTCCTGTGTATGGTTTCCAGTCTCCTCCAGGGAGGTCTCGTTCCTCACTCGTGCTTCTTCCTGTCAGTTGAAGGTCCTCCTCAAGGTGTGATGAGATGGTCCTTTTCTTAAACCAGACTCRGCTCCATTGTTCAGTTAATCTGAGTTGACCGAAATTTTCACTTGAATTTTGCTGACGCTTTTTCATCTGCCAACATTATTTTAGCACACTAATAAATGAGATCTAGGTTAGTTATTTGSGGAATCTAAAGGCCGTCCGTGCTTYGCACGTAAACTGTACGTGCTTATCAGTGGTGAATGCTTCAGGCACATTTGTTTCTTTGCTTTGGAACTTCTTCGTCTTCACAAGCAGCAGAAGAGCTCAGCGGGGTGAACTTTATTTTTGCCTTTCTGTTACCAAGATACTGGCAGCCTGTTTGTGATGCTTAATTTATATGGGATTTGTGACCCACTTGAGATAAATAGCTAGACTGGAGAGCAGATTAACTGATAAGGTGTTAGGATAAGTAGAAATGGTGTTTTAGCTCATTTTCTCTCAAAGTGCTTTATTTTCACCAAAAAAAAAAAAGTTTTTTATTTAATTCTGCAAGAAATTTTAAATTATTATTTTGAGGTGTTTGTAATTAACAAAACACCATTTTCTCCCTGCCCTTTTCCTGTTAGTTTTTTTTCTTCATCTTTAGAAGAGGATGGTAAGCTTCTTTAAGAGCTACTGAAATATTTCCCTTGAATTTTCAGGGAAAACAAAGCCCTTTGGAAGGAAGTTCTTGATCTTAAACAGAAGCAAATCCAGCATCGACAGCTCTGTGAGGCAGTGAGTAGCCCAGCTGCTGAGTGACTATAAAGCATAAGCCTTTAGGTAGCTGAAAACTGTGTGATTATGTCCGCTTTGCTTACTGCCTTTCACAGTGAGGAAAGCACTGGTGCTACCCTGCAATTGCCAGCTTTAGGGGTGTATGGAAAATATTCYGATTTAAATAATTCAGAATGAGAACACCAAGCAGTGATTTGAATTACTACTCTGCAGAATATCTTACTTATAACTGGTTACTGTGAGGAATTTCAGGTGAAATACTTACTTTTCCCTTCCCACAAAAGAGAATATCTGTATGAATATGACACATCTATCTAGGCAGCTACAATGATTGAGGATGGAGCTAGCTGCCTTATAAAGGGAGGCTGAAAAGTCCCCGGATTTCCTTTGACTGGAGAGGATACAGCTGAGGCCTGTAGAATCACAGTAACCATCACCAAACTGAACACAAACTCGTTTTTTTTTCACTCAGTTCTGGCATATGAGCAGGCACTCAGCCCTTTCATCCCTTGTTTAGTTTAAAACGGATAAAAAGCAGATCTGCCCGCAGCAAATAGAGAATTTCTGGAACTTGACAGCACAGGAGGGGCACTTGGCAGGGGCAGAGTGTCGACAGCTCCCGGAGATGGATGAAAACCTCCTTCATACCTGGTGCATGGAGGAGCAGGAAAACGGGTGGTCATGTGCACGCTCGTATCCCTGCAGTGAATCTGTGCAGGGGACTGGACTGAGCGGAGCGGCGGCCTCACGGGCTCTCCATAAATAGGCATCAGCTACAGCTCCTGTTGCACAGGCCGTCGGCCTGAGCTGCTGTGTCACATCCTATCTGCCTGCCAAGTGCCTTAGCTGGATCTCTGGGGTGGGGCAGGCAGGATCCCTGTTCCTGCTCCCTGTTCCATGCTGGAGCATCCTGCACTGGTTAAGCAGGGGTGCTTGAACATTAACCATCCCTGCAGTACAGCTGCTCCATCAGCAACAGAATGATTTGTGCTGCTGAGGTGATGGCTTTTTGATATGTAACTTGATTTCTGACAGTGATTGGTGACTGAGAACATTGCTTATAACTCTTTAGAATAGAAAACATAGTCGTAGTGCCCTGACATGTTTAAAATTACAGAAATCATATGCATGTGATTTTCCTGTGTGCAAATACTGCAAATTGTCCTCGTGATTATCTGTAAGAGGAAGCCAGGTTTCAGGATGCCTGTTGAAATTACTGTGCTTTTGCAAGTAATTAAGATAAGGAAGGAGAGTACTTGACATCTCTCTAGCTGCTGCTTTCTCCAAATGCTGCAGGCTTTGTTTCATCCCCAGGAGCTGGAACAGAAGTTGTGTTTTGGGTGGTTACCAGTAATTTATCCTAAGCTTTATTGAATATCAGCCTCAGTAACTTAGTAACATCGTAAAGGAGAGTGTGTGTGGTTGTTTTTTTGTGGTTGTTTGTTTGTTTTATTTTATTTGGAAACTATAATTAATGGCACATAGGGGTTCTGAGGTTTGTTTTATGTTTACTGATAATAACTGAGCTATTACTGGTCTTCATTATAGGCAGAAATCTAGAATGTGGGAAGGATCATTATTTTTTGTTAATTATTGACTGCCAAATGGTCTGTTCTCCAATTCATGCCTGCATTTTTTTTCTTTGCCCCTTCCCCTCTCCCCCAGAATGTTACATTGCAGGGTTATAACCAAACTGTGGACCTGCCACAAAAACAGTAAGTGCTGCAGACTGTAAAACTGGCTCTGTTCAGTGTTAGAGCTCTGTGTTTTGGCCAGTGATGCATATGCATCCCCCAGGGGCTTTCAGGTAGCAACTGACCTGGGTGTGGGTAGTGTTTTTTTTTTTTTTTTGGTGCTTGGTTTGGTTTTCTTTTGCATTAATCTATGTCATTAATGCTGTGTCCCAGGGGCTTCTCTAAACCGTTTTAGTTGGGTCAATCCCAAACTCACCATTTGGGTTTGGGAATGGGGTGAAATAGGTATTGTAAGGACCTATAAACTCCATATCTTGCCAATACAGGCAAAATAACGCTATCCTCTCTAATGAAGTTTAGGATTTATGTTCTCCAGGGAAAGGAAGGCTCTCAGCAAAACTAGTTTTGCAGTGAAAATGCTTGTCCTGTCAAGACTGGAAATCAAAATAAGGCCACTTTATCCTGATTCCAACACAGAATTTTGTGAGGCTAATCTCTTCTTACATACATACCTTGTAGTTCAAAGATCTTGTACCATCAGAAGATAGACAGACTTTAAGAAAGCTGAAGTTTCACTTTATCCRTAGGAAACCTAAGTTTTTGTAAGTATATTAAGTAGTGATGCTGCTTCTGAAGTTGTTTCTACCTTGTATTTTTCTGTATKAAGATTTATGTGATTCCTTGTCATTTTCATACCGGCCTTGTGAGCAAGGCTAGCATTGCAAACACTTTAAATGATCTATTCTAGGCCCCTTAAGATAGATAGCCCAGGAGACTACAATCAACAGTGTGATCAAGAACTAGTTGAGGAGGGCCAGGTAAACCTTTATCTTTAACTGTTCTTTGTTCTCTAAGCTCTTTCTTCTTTCTTCTCTGCAATAATGACTGCTGTTCAGCTCTTGTATTTCCTGTGTCATGGCTGGAGCTACACTTACCTTTGTTTGAATTCATAGGGTATGTATGGATGCTATGTGGCATACTAATAGGTGTAACAGGTTAATTGCTATGGAGCCAGTACCACACAGTGCTGCCTTAAGGAATCCTTTCTCTACACCCTTACAAACTTCTCTTTTTTCCCTTGTACATGTTTGAGCTTGGTAGTCATTGCTGCATTGCCACGTCTTGAAGTAATTGCACTGGTGCAGATAATGTAGCCCTTGCAGGATGTACTTCTCTTACGTTGGTAATAAGAAAATAGCAGCACTTAGTGTGCCTAAGGAATGCATGCAGTGGAGAAGTATGGARTATGGATTTCTAGGGTCTCATGCTAAGAGGCAGTGAATGCTCTGGCCCTGTCCTGCAGAGTATCAGTGTGTCTGTTTGTGTAGGCTTGTGCTCGAAGCGTGCCTGGCTGGATCTCTTCTAATGTATTTGCAGAGTCAAAGAATTAGATTAGGAAAAAAAGGCATATTCACAAAGTCATTTGTCACTTATTCTTAGAAGCAGCTTGTGGTCATTCTGAATAGGTGTTTGTGTGAAATCTGTTGATTCTTAAGCATTCAGATTAGAATCATGSAACATCAAGATGATAGTTGTTTAGTCTTGAGGATAGAGAACTTGGGAAAGTACTAGAAGAAGTTTGGAAATTACATTAAACTCAGCATACTAATATCACAGTAGGAAATTGGAGAAGTTAACATATTTATTAGACTCATGTGGAAAATACTAGTTTTCTGAAAGAAATATTAGATTTAATATTGGTGTACTGCTTAATGTTTTACCTAGATCATTAAGGAAGAATGCTGTGTAATTTAAAGTTTAATCTATTCTGCAGCAGTTATATGGAGCTATCATTTGGCAAGCAAAGGCAGAATGTACTAAAAGAAAAAWTATCTTGCATATTTTTGGGATTATTAATTGGGGCAATTTTTCTTCAGTGAATTTTAAAGTGTCTGGTCTTGGGTTTTGTTTGTTTTTATTTTTGTCTTTTTTTAATTATGTTGGAAAGCTTTATTGATAATTGGTACAGTTAAAACAGATCGAAAAGAAACTTGGAAGCCTTCTGGAATGAGAGGGTTTTGAGGAGCTGTAGGAAGAAGTGTGCCCTGAAGGCAAGACAGTGGTAAAGGAACAACAACAACAGAAAACTAAGAATGAAGGGCCTAAAACTTTGTCACTGTAGAATCAATCCTGTGTGTGACTGAGTGACTGATATTAAACTATTGTCTTCTGCACAAACCGTTTGATTTAGGAGGCTTTTAAAAATTTTTGAATAAGCTAAACTTACTATTTTGTGTAATAAAACCAAATAATTTTATGAATGCTATTTTACATTATCAAATGAAGACTCCATTACCACAAATAATAGGACCAGGTCAGATTTATACCAATAGAACAACCTCCCGAGCACCTAGCAAGGTGTTTGTGGTGATTTTTTTTTTTTTTTTTTCCGGACCTCAGAAGATCAGTGCAACAGGACGGGAAGCAGAAGCAAGTGCGGAGCTGCCATGAGTGGCTTTGAAGGAGCTCAGCTAAGAGTTCAAGTAGACGCATTGCAGATGTGGGCAAGACTGGCTGACAAGTAAGAGCAATGCATTTTGTTCAGGGTGACAACAGCACTGGAATCCTTGCCTGTCTAAGCAAGGAAAAAGATRTCCTTGGGAGCTGAGCTCTGCTGCCCTTTAGATGGAAGGGAGGGCTTCCCTTTCCATCCCCTCTGCCCACTTTCACTGCACGTGGTTCCTTTCCTGCTTGAATTCAGCTCGGACTGAAGTTTTTCAGGGTTCGTGGTGATTTGCTCAACATGTTCTAGCTCATGGTCATAATTGTGTTAGAAATGGGTGAAGAAGTAGGAGAAAGGAAAAGGAGATGGAGGGGCAGGCTGTAGGTTAGGAAGGGTTGTAAGTTTGAATGTGGGAAAAGGAAGATGAGATTGCTGGGGAAGCGTGCCATGGAGCCTGCCTGTGGATTTTGTGAAAGAAAATAGTAGAGAACACACGTATGAGGGAATCAGCTCATGGTTTTGAAGGACAGGAGTGAACTATGGGAAAATGGGCCCTTTCCTTTCCCTTTGGAGACTCTTCTTCCTTGCAGACTTTCCACTTTGCCAGCTATCCCCATTCATTAACAACATATGAGTTGAGAAGTGAGTCTTGATTTGTTTTTGTTGGGAGTGGTGCTAAAGCAGAAGCAGAGAGAGGGAAGGATGAGGGAAGTTTCACTAAAGGTAAGTCCCGGGGGTGCCACAGTGCTCTGAAGGAGCAGCAGGAGCCTTTTGTTTTTCATTTGTTGCTGTTGAATGTGAATGAAGCTCTGCCAGGTAGCAAAACAAAGGCTTCAAAGCCACAGCCTGGGTTCAGTTTTAGTTTTGTGGGGGGATGTTCTTTTGTTTCAGCTCCTCTTCTAGCTAGCATGCAAATGCTAATTCTTAGTGCAATTTCTCTTGCATTAAGAACAAATGTTTCATGGATAATTACGTTGCTAAAAATGTAATTAGTATTCAGCAGTTGTTCTTAACAGAATGAACCTAAACACTGTGGACTCAGAACCTTCTGTCTGAAATACTCAGGAAACATCTTCTGGAATAAAAGACAGACTTTCAGAGTTACTGTTTGCTGCCTTCACTCAACTGCAGTTCTAGTTCAATAGCACAAGTACAGTCTAACTCAAAACACTTGTATCTTAAATGTGCCTTTTTGTAATATGACTAAAAGGTTTTTGGTTTTTTTTCCATCCTTGACATAACTTCACATGTTCTTTTTAATGCTGGGTCAGCTCACAAGGTAAAAAAGATTTACTGATGCTTTTTAGGGTGGATTAAATATCCTTCATTTTCCTCTTGATTTTCTGGTAGCCTGGTTTAGAGCTGTTGATAAAGCATGAAATTAAAACAGGATGCTTGTAACTATTTTACTACAAAAGGCAGAGGACCCAGGTTAGTTAATAGGAAGTCATATGCTATGTTTTTAAGCAAGAAAAAAAAACTGTTGCATTCTTAGATAAGAACAGAATAAAAACTTAGGAAAACGTCTGCCTTCACATGTGTACTCCTGCAGCTGGAGGTGGTTGCCTTAACTAACAGTAAGAATGAGGATTTCTGTGAAGCTGAGACTGAGAAATTTGCTGTCTGTCCTGAACTACTTTCACCTCTCTGCTCCAGAATATGTGAAACTATCACCATTTTATAGACTGGGAGTGAAAACTAAGACAGGTTTGGATTTGCCCRGGATGTGGTATCATTAAATTTTAGTTGTTCTTCAGGCAGCGCTGTGCTATGATCAGTAGATCAAAGTTGCAGGGTAGTCTTGAAGTCTTTCTATTGCTTAAAATATTTACTTCTTGAGCCGTGTTAACTGTCTCCCCAGTCACAAGATCTTTAACAGACATATCCAGAGAAATAATCCAGTAGCAGTTGTTGTTGGCAGTTTGGAGGCGTGGAAAAAATTGCTCATTCATTGAGTGTTCACTGTGCACGCTCACAAATGCTACGTGCTTGCATGTGTGATGTGTGTAGTGAAGAAAAGGCTGAAATCAGAATTTTGCTTCCAAGAAAATACTTGGCTTTAGTAAATTCACAGCCTTCTGTCACTGCTTTTCTCACACAGCTTGAGAGATGATATACCTGYGTGGCAGTATTAATACAGAGGTTAAAACAGAGCTTGCTGCATGGAAAAATACTGCAACTGAGGTCAGCCCAAAGAAAATGCCTTTGAGTAGGCATAAATCAAAATGTGTTTCACTGGTTATATTTCAACCTCTTCTCTTGTTACAAGGAGAAATCTTTAATTGGATATATGCTATCCTGGGCTTTACGTAAAGTGAATGAAACTAAATTATTTGATGAAAATCTTCCATTTGCGTATGCAGTGAATGACGTGGCGGTCAGAAGTGTCTTGACTGGAGTGACCCCTTTCTTCCCCTTAGGCACCCGGCTCATGTGACCCTTTACCAGGGAGCTTTGGTTGATGGGAGCATTTCTGAGCAGCACCGTGTGCTGCTGCCCAGCATATGCTGTGTTAATGCTTTATTTTTATTTTTAGCACAGCACAACTGTGTGCTCCTCCCTGCAGTGTGAGTTGCTTTCCTGGTCCACATTCCTTGCAGTGCATCTGCCTGTAAATGTCTTTGGAGTACATAGAATCAATGATGCTAAGATACTGGTATGTTAAGTCAGTAAGAGTAAAAATGAAACATAATTTTTGTGGTGTATTGGGCCAGAACCCTTCTTGATTTCTTCTCACTGCTGTGTTTTRTTGTGCTTACCTTGGAGGCTACTGATACAGAAATACTAATAAATTTACAGCTGTGTGTAGTTCACAAGTTGCATTTGGAGCAGTGAAGCCCTTCAGGATTGCCAGCCATACTTGAAGAATAAAGCTCGCTGCAGGGGAACCTTGAACTGAAACTTCTGTTAAGTAACGGAGTCCTAGAGCCTGTGATCGGATATGAAAAGGATGGAAAAGCAGATCATGGGAAGAATCTCTAGCTCCATTTGTATACCTGTTCTGGCAGCCTGGCTTGGGAGGCTTTCTCTCTTTGTACAGAGAAAGTTGCCAATAGAATTGGCCAAATGTGCCCAGTGTCTGTCAGCCTCCAACTCCTGCCATCTACAGTCTACCAAAAAGATAGGCCTGCATTCATTCATAAACAACTTATTTTTTTGCTAAATTAAAAGTGATTTCGCTATCCTCATAAGGCATACTTGCTTTAATTAAGCAGCTGTAGTTAAGTGGGTGCTTGTCAACACCTGTGTCAAATTCAGTGTAGAAATGGTTTTGAGGTTAGAATTCTGTTCTGTGTTGAAATCAGCATAGACTTAAACTGATAGAGAGCTGCTGTTCTTGTCAGCAGCTGCTCAAAGAACTTCTGTGTYGCTGGCCCAAGCCTGGACTCTCTCAAGAAAGAGGCGAGCGGAGCTGATGCTGCTTCTGGCTTCTCCTGGACCAGCCAGCCGGACACCAAGCTGGATCCCTCTGACACCTCAGCTAGTGTTGTGTCCAGGCTTGGATCCTCTTCGTCACAGTGCTCGGAAAAGTAAGTCTTAGTGTCTGCTTGCTTAGGGTTTGGGGGACTACCCGGGTGTGACATTCCACTTCTGACGTATCACTGTTCAAGGTTTGATGTGAAAGCATGCCCACAAACCTTCCTTTGAGTAAGTTTCGAAACAGTGCCCAGCTTGTGTGAGTTACTTGTATGAGTGTTTAAAGGGTTGAGTTCAGTGAAAAGCACGCTGGTTCTGTGATTTAGTAGTAGGGTGGCTCAAAATAACCTTTGTCAGTTGTCTGCAGCCTCTACAGCTGTCTTGTTGGTGGATGTGACTCAGAAGCTGAGCTCGTGCCACAGGCATCCCCTAAATCAGGAGGGCTCAACTGCTAGGCCAGCTGCCTTCATGGCTTGTGGGCGGCTGCGGCCTCTCTGAGATGCTGGTTCGTTTTCAGGGATGAAAGCCTTTGGGCCCTTGTTTTCCTTTGTGCTGGCATTAAAAACAGCTTTCTCACAGATAACTGAGCTTACTGTGTGCTGGTGGAACTGGATTTTAGGAGTACCTCTCAGGGCTGTTATGTGCATATGAAAGCTTTGGTTGCTGCTTAGGCAGGAAGAGTAAGTCTCTTATCTGGCAGGAGGTGATATGGAGCATTCGCATGAAATGGGAGGTTGACTCTCTGAGTCCTGAGTCTAAAAGAAGGTGGGTGGCTGTCACTCGGAGCAGATGAGTAACAAACAAGGTTGAGATTATTGTGTCCCTCAGCAGAGCAGTCTAGCAGATCAGAGCAAATCTCTTCAAAAACCTTAAGAAATTTTTCACTTTAAAAAACTCATGAGACAAGACTCCTTGAATCAGTTTTATTTCTGAGCCTGACCCTTGAGGGATGGCAGACACTTAGGATGTACACCCTCTGGATCAGGGCTACTCTGTGAAGTGTCACATTGAAGTGTGTTGTGGCAGGGGGGATGTTTCTTGCTTAAGTGAGTGAACTTGAGAACCTCATGTTAGTCTTTGGATTTAGGTTCTTCCCTTTGAATCTCTGGACAGCTTCTCGTTTCATCCCTTGGAGATGTTTCCAAAATAAAGCTGGGTTGTATTTTGACTTAATTCCTAGAGAGTAAAGCTGATTTTCACAGGAACTGATCTAGCTATCTCTAGGCATCTGATAGAATGAAAAGGGTCTCTCTGCTATGTAGAGAATATCCTTTGATTTAGATCAAAGGTGCCTCCCTGTTCTCTTTATGGCTTACACAGAAGGTTTAGAGTGATGCACAGCTCCGCCTGTAGATTATCTGAATTGGTCTCGAGCTGTTGGGAGTTCTGCCTGGGGAGCAGGGGGAAGAATCCTGCAGGTTGAGCCCCTGGCTGCTCCTTTGAGGCTCATATGTGTATATATGCCTACGTATATACATATGGGTATTATGCAAACTGTGTTCACATGTTCAGTCTTAACGCTTGCAGGCGAGATACTGGTTTGTGCTGCCCTGCAGAAGTCAAACGCCTTGTCACAGTCAGGATAAAAAAGACTTCACAGTAAGCAGCTATGASGCCATCCTGTGCAAAGCTGGTGAGAGCCTGTGCGCCTGATCTGTAGCACTCCCTGCCTTCGAGTCTTTGAAGAGGGAGTTTTGCAGTGGTCACCTAGAAACTGCGTACACAAGAGACTGGTTTCCTTTCCCCTCTGCTTTTCCAGCTTGCGATATCTTGATTTATCTTGGCTTATAGATTGCTGGTGAGGGCCAAATTGTAAATAAAGTTTTCCAGAGAAAGTCCAGAGATCTGACAGCAAGTTATTGTGAATTTAAAATGAAAGTAGACTTTTAGGTCTGTAGACAGGAAAAAATGCTTACTTATCTTTCATTGCCAGTTACTATGGCTATATCTGAGTCCTTTTTTTTTTTTTTTTTTTTTTTTTTTTTTTTTTTTTTTTTTAATAGGAGATGTGTAGAATTAAGACATTTGCACAAACCTTGCTTTTTTGGCAGGGAGGAAGACCAGTTTTGTTTTTGTGTCTTTTTTAATCTTCTGTAATATTCTTACAGCCTTAAACAGAATTACTTAGAAACATGAAGGAAGTAGTTTAGGACAAAACTCTGTGTAATTGTCCTCTTAAAGATACAATTTATTTTACAACAACAATGGGGAAAACTCAACTGCTTTTGAAGATTTTGACACTATCAGGATTGGAGTGTTGGGCTAGATAGCGTGAAAAGAAACTAATCTGCAGAATGAAGATAGTAAACCTGAGGTCACCTTTAGTTAGGATGAGAACAATCTAAACTGTATAAATGTAAATACTGTATACATTAAACATGTTAAAAACAAAAAGTTCAAAAAAGTTCAAGTTCACTAGTTAAAAAGTGTCTTAACAAAGGTGACTTAGAAAAGGTAGAGAAACTGGCAAGCAAAAAAGTCAGAACATCTTAAATTGTAATCTGTCTCTAAAGACACAACTTACGGTTTGGAGTGGATCTGCTTAAAAAGTAAGTTCTTTCTGACTTGAAACATGCAATTTCTCTGGAAATGATAGGAGAGGCATGAAAGAAAGCTAAAGTAGCTGAAAAAAAACAGCAATGCCACTGGATTTCCTCACACTCACAAGGCATTTTAAAGTGAGGCAAGGATGTGCTCTAAAGAAAGTATCCCAGTTTTCTACATGTAAGATGCTTTATAAAACTAGTAGAAGAGTTGCTCTGTGTTTTAATTAAATTTCTGTATTTTTAATATTGAGGGGGGAAAAAATCTGGAGAGAACTGTTGTAAACTTCTTTGACTGAAATTATGCAGCATGTTATGCAGCATGTTATTACACAGCTTATGTGAACATTTATATTTTCTTTGCAGAATACATTCATCGGACACAGACTGGATACTTGAATATTGCAGTAGAAGTTGTGAAGATCAAGAACATCTAGTAAGGAAAAGAAATACTGTTTCTGTTGCATTCCAATAATTTATATGAAGGGATTTATTATAACCTAAGCCTCTGTTGTTTCTAATACTTTTTTTCTTTTACTTAAATTAATTTTGGCTTAGCAGTTGTTTGTGATGATGGGAAAAATACCAGACGTTTAGAAAATTGTGTATTCCATGGTTTGTCCTGTGATTTCACAGTAGCAAGACCCAGAACTTGAATTCAATGGTGAACTGAATTCTAGAACTGACTTATAGCTGAGCTAAATCTTACTTCCTTGCTGAAGGTATTGATGTAGCACAGTCACTGCAACCCTCTGGAAGAAGGGACACAGTAGGGAAGAAATAAAAAGGGTTGCTTAAGATGGAAGTGGTTTCTGTAGCATTTGTTCCTAAGGCTTGTTTCTCAGCCCTGAGTGAAAGACCTTCATGATCATCGCAGAAACAAAAGGAACCATAATCTGATATTTATCATTTCCTTAAAGACAATAACTCCAGGATCTAATTTCAGCTCTTACCTAGATGATGGGAGAGGAAGAAGTGCTGCATTGCCCCAACTGTGGAGTCCAAGTGCTTTGTCTGTATTTGATACCTTTGTCTGAAAAATATAGTGAACTACCAGATGCGGTGTTGTGTCTTGTTTTACTAACATACACTTGGAGCATAATGGCCAATATAAGTGTAGGTGTAGGTTTTTTTGGGTGGGTTAATAAACAAAGGTGACGATGGCTGCAGGGGCAGTTGCAGCAGAGATAAGGTTTCAGTCTCCACCTGTCCATTGAATTGTGGTGCGTGGTGGCTATGGCAGGACTATTAATCAAACTGGGAAGGAGAAGGGGGGAAAAAAAATGTGAAAACCCCAGCAACTCATGACTTTCTATAGAATAACTTATAATTACACGTGTGCATGCACATACTGGTCACATTTTCACATGCCAAACCTTTTTCTCTCATTAATGAAAACATACAGGAATCTGAACAAGCAACAGACTGCAGTGGATTAGACACAGAAGCAGAAGACTATAGTTCTGCCTGTTCCGATTCAGGTAAAAGTCCTAGACTGAGTTTAACCAGTCTCAGTTGGCCTGTTTCCAGGTGTGAGTTTTCTTGTSTTTTCCTGTACAAAAATACGTAAAATGCTAAATAACTATTACATGCAGGAGAAAAAACATACCATGGAAGTTTCCTTAAACATAGAGGTCACCGGAATCCTGGAATCATATCTCTGAATTTTTCCATCTCTTTTTTCTGTCCCTGAAGACATGGAAAATGTAACATAGTGTAACTTATTTTTGAGAATATTTTTATTGTTGTTAATTTTGCCTATTTATATGGTTAAAACTGCTTATTGCTGCTTTTGAGAGATAAAAGTAAATCAATGCGTGGGCTGCTGTTCTATGAAAAAAGCCTATTCATGTTTGGGAGTTTGAGAACTCTTTTGCAGTTGGAAAGCAGTTACTTTGTGGAAGTCCTAAAGTTTGGAACATGAAATAATATTATATTCAGGCTTTTGAATAACTTAGTCGTTGATGTAGCGTGTTTGCTGAGCTAACTTCAGGTTAGATAAAAGCTGCTTTTGTGCTTTGAGCCCTTTCTTGCCATAATGATCATCAATACTGATCATAATGATACTTAAGTCATAATGATCATAAATACTTATGGATCCTACTTGAGGAGAAAAGATCTTGAAAAATTGTCTCCGTTCACAGAACTTAACCATGTTTTGTCAGTTTTTCTTTTTGGAATAAAACCATGTTTGGTTGCTCAAATGAGCATACATACTTTTTTTATAGTAAGAACTATTTTTTTTTTTTTAGTCCAAACACGTGACTGCAATAAAATGTTCTAAAACTTCTGTAAAGCTTCTTCCCAGACCTTTGGTCCATCAAGAGTCTTTTTCTTTTCTTCCAAATTTGCCATCTTTCCAAAAGCTTCAGTGAAAAGATTATATTTTTAGAAAGCTCTGGAGATCAATTTATCTGCCGTGAATTTGGAGCTAGTTCTTACAGTGGCATGGTAAGAATTGGGCTTAGAGTCTGGGTTTTTTGGTGTGTTTTTTTTTTGTTGTTTTTGTCTCCTTTTATCTCTTTCTTTTTTTAGTGGCTTTGAAATGGCTTTTAAAACTGTATATATTTTAAGAAACTTTTAACTGTTCTCTTAGCTTGTTGAAAACCTGCCTTTAAAATATATTTTTCCTTGTAGTAAAAGCAAAATAGGCTTTTAAAGCTGTACAGAGAATTTTTATGGAGTGTAAAATATTTTTGTGTATTTTTCTAATTGAGAAAAGTCCAAAACAAGTATTTCTTACACTGAAGCAGATGAGAAATCGTTTTCTTCTGTGTCACTTTTATATATGTGTGTGTACATGTATTTATATGTATATCCTGAAGGATTGGAAATAAATATGAAAGGAATGTAGGTCAGAATTTTCCCTTTAAAAAAAGATTGGAACTGAAGTGGGTTTTTTTTTAGTCATTGTAGTCATTATAGTTTAATTTTAAAACTCATTGTGCAGTCTTTATTTCAGGACTGTTAGGGTATCTTGAGTGCTCATAGTGACCTTTGTGTATGTGGGGTGTTTTTTTTTTTTTTTCTCCTTTCCTCCCTATAAAAGGACATCTTGAGAAGAAAAGTGAATCACTCTGGAATCCAGAAAACTGAGCAGCACTTCAGTCAGAAATGTGACGACAGCATGAGCCTAACTAAGAGAGTATTGGCTTTGGAAGAAAAGTCTCTTCGGAAGCTCTCTGAAATTTTATCCACCTTGTCTGCTCTGGCCAGTTACGTCATGAACACAGAGAAATCTCAAAGGCTGTCCCAAGTTCAAGGGGAATGAACTGACAGCTAAGCCTCTTAGGGACAAATTAAGGCGATCTTGACATGTGCAGAGTTTGGACTCCTAGAAAGGATCGGTCTTTTAGATATTTGAACTCAACACTTTTTTTTTTTTTTGGTAGCAGATATGTTTCAAACTTAAATGAAGTGCTGTGTACAGCATTTGTTACCATAAACATTCCAGGACGTTTTACCTGTAGTCCTCTGTGGTTGTTCCAGAGGCAGTATACAGACTCAGTGACTGACTAGTCTTTTGCCTGCATAGTGATTGATCTAGACAAATCAATAAAGACAGCTGGATTGAATTTGAGACTTGCTTTGTCTCTTTATCTACTTCATTATTGTAAGAACCTCTGCCATGTCCTTCAGTCATGGCAAATAGTAGTTGCAGAAGGAGTTGGAGTATTGTGTAGAAATTGGTCACGTGCTACTGGCTACCTTGGATTATTTTTGGTTAATTGTTTTGTGTAACCTTGTTTATCGTAAGAAAAATCTGTAGACTAGTGTCACCTGGGCTTTGGCTTTGCTCAGGGAGTGACCTTATAGTGATTTACACAGCTTGCATTTCAGCCTTGCGAGAGGACAGTATATAAGAAAGCAACAGCCCATTAGGAAGGCCTTGCATAAGCAATGCATCTAGACCTTTGCTCTTTATTCTAATGTGATGTAATAAAACTGGATTTGAGAAAAGACCAGTGAAGTTCAAACTAAARATAATAACTTGAAAGCCTAAGGTTAAATAACTAATATATATCCCTAGGAATGATCTAATGATTGACAAGTAGTTTGTTATTAGGCTACAGCATTCTATAATCTTAAAAACAAAAAAAAAGCAGCTGTATAATACATCTTGAAACTGAAATATTTCAGTTATTTTCCTACAAGCTACCAGAGCAAGAGCTATCAAAATGTGGGAGATTTTTTTTGCGGGTATTATTGGCATGGGTGGCTATTTTTTCTCCCCTGTGCCACGGCACTGTGTGCTGTAAGTTCTTGGTAGAAGTTGAAACAGAAGCAGCTGACCTTGACTCTTGCAGGAAGATTGTAGGATTGGATTTGCAATATATCTTAACAAAACATCGGTAGTGCTGTCCTCTGCTGTGCAATTTGTGGAACACTTGTGAAGTGTTCGTACTGTTGTCAACATACTAGTTTATTTCCATAAAATAGCTTCTTAAAGCAAAAATTAATTGAAGATGCTTTTGAAGTTGTGCAGCATGCTTGGTAGAGTACAGAAGGAGGTTAGTTTTACTGTATTTTCATTACTCATTAGGCTAACAATTTTCCATGATATCCTTTCTTTTGGAATCAATTTCTCCTAAGTGATTCTATAGCTAATGGGTATGAAGTTCAAAGACTATTTGTTTTGGAAAGAGGTCTCCTTAGGGACTGCCTGACTGAGATCCTTGAGGATTAATCTGAATGTTTTTGTTGTGCATAGGCTTATATTAAGTTCTGAGATCATTCGGATAACAAATTAAATGACAAAACATGGGCACATTTTATATATTCAGCTAATTAGCTACTACTTAGCTATTGTACCAAAATGAGGAGTTTCCTGGAAACATAGGAGTGGGTGAAAGACCGTGCTGTTCGTGCCTGTAAATTTTCCTTAGCCTTGGCTAGCCTTTTCCCTCCTGTGGACTCCAGTCACAGGTGAGCACAGCGTGAGGGTAGAGGGGCAGTTTAAATTGGCGTGGCTTTGAAAAGCTGATTAGTTCTGTCCTTGAACCGTCTCCGTGCAAACTCGGATGCAGAAGGGTCAGCTGGAGCCCGACGCTCGTGAGTGACCACAGGGGCTCATGGCGGGGAGGAGGCAGGTGTTTCTAGCTGGCTCGGGTGCMCCGTGATGAGCAAGTAGCCTCTTGAAGTGGAGGGGACAGTGTTGAGGCTTCTTCCTCTCTGTTTTCTGTAGGGATGATGGTGCTTCAGCTACAGCCTGTAAGGGCTGTGTGATGCTTTTGGAAGGGAAGGAATCCATCTCCTGCTTCAAAGGGAGGTCCCCTAAGGAAGGCCTCTCATTGATCTGTTCTTTGCCGCCCCTGGCAAGGGTGCCTAGGCCTCCCCTGCCCCTGGCTATATTAAAATAAGGGCTCTGTCCCCAGGGAGACCCTTGTGGAGAGGCCGGGGGAGCAGGGGAGGCTGCGGCCACGCTTGGGGCCTCGCTGCGTGCCCCGCCTGGCCCCGCCCCGCGCAGGGAGGCGCGCCCGGATTGGCCGTCCCGCGCGGCTCGTTTGCATGCCCCCGCCCTGTTGTGTCACGTGAGCGCGGCGCACGTGGGGCGCTTATGTAAAGGCGCGCGGGGAGCGGGCGCGCGCACGTGCGGCGGCGCCGCGCGCGTGCGGCC